AGAGCAGTTGTGATTAAGTGTAAAAGCTCTGTTAATATATCTCGAATTGATCATGAAAAATCGGTCTTTATTCTCAAGCATGATTATACTCATGACAATTGTGTAGTACATACCTATGTTACTTGGCTTCACACCACAATATCTTAAAAATCCACGCACACTAGTGGGTACATTAGGAAAGTTTTTTTCCAAATATTGCACATGCTGTTCGCAGAATGCCTTTCCTTTCTATGACTTAGTGCATACATTGGGATAGTTCAGCAATGGAATACGTTTTACAAAATATTGAAAACAATTTCATATAATATTATTAAGTTACGAAAAGCAAAGGAGTAATGTTATATCAAACTAAGATAAGTACCTTTCTAGGCATAATGCAATGAGGAAACATTAATTTCCATATTCCATTGGCAACCCATAGCCTTTCACATCCTATAAGTTTGATTACGAAAATATCTTAGCCTGATGAGAATCACAGCGATTTTCCAATAAAATATATTTATAGCTTTTAAACTAATTTTAAAATACAATTGCATCTAACTTACCGCGCTCTTTGCAAGTATCAGAACAATCGTCTGATGTATGCTCGTACAAACTTTTCGCCCTAATTTTGTCTATTTGTTCTAGTACCCTAGAAGAGTCCCCATCTTCTTTAAGTAAACCAAAAAAATCCAGTTGCCCCAATTCCCTCAACTCATTCTCCATCTCGCCGACACAAAATGAAGCAGTAACTTGTTTCTCTCCAAAATCTTTATATAAAACGCAAATAATGCTTACCATCAAAAACTGTAACAAGGTGATAACAGTAATACAACATATCTTCTCTTACTGCCATTGTATACTTCATTAAACGCTTCAGAAAAACCGTTAAATGATACCCACGAATGACAACTATAGAAAACATGTTTCATTTGTAAAATCTACTTGCTATTTTAACATTAATTAATCAAGTGATTATATTGTAACTTGCGCAAGTGACAGCTGCCACTGAAGCAAAGTTGAATCAACAAAACAGGCATCCGTAGCCTCGATCATTTTTCTTTGTTCGGGATATAACATCCAGCCATCTTTCCCATCACCGTAATTGGAATATCCATAAAGCAAATTACAGCGATTGCATCTAAGCGAAACTTTCACTCCATCGGTAGTTCCAGAAAGATCGTGTAGCTGAACTTTTACTGGCATATTGTAGCTCACAGGGTCATTGTTGCACTTAATACATTTGGAGCATGGAGGTGTAAATATATGCAACTTCCTATCGGTTGTACTAGGAACTTTTAATTTAGAAGCGGACTGTAAAAGAACATTTCCATCTTCTAAATTGGGACATACCAAAGCCAACACTTCTTGGCGTAAATTTACGGGGAGTACAAGCAAAGAAGACGCAACATTGGCAATAGAGCACACAAGTGACAACCCATATTTCAAAACAAGAACAAACAGAATTACATCAACATTTATATCATTGCAGACTTTCAAATTAATAGATTGGATATCACTTAATATCCTGGACCCCACTTATTCTTGATGTAGCTCCTCGTTGACATCTTTTCGCAAATCGTCAACCGATTAACAATTGTTACGCCTGCGCTTCGACATATTTTCAGCTTTCCGTAGTCAGAAATGATTTCGGCTTTCCCCAGTGATCCAGTGAGAAATGACTTTTGGCTTTTCCCAGTCAGAAGTCATGGGAAATACTATTATTATGCATATTATGCAATTTCGATTGCAATTGGCTAAGAACCTAGCTACACTGCTATAGGTGACATATTACATAATTGTTTATGCAAAATTGTATATAAAAAAGTATAATGACAGACACTTGCTCGATATTTGCAAGCGTTTTGCAAACTTTTTTCGCTCGAATTATAGAGTATTAAGACGTAAAAATAAACGGAATGGAGAAAATTGTCAGTGAGGAGAGTTTTCATCGAGTATTTTCGGGAGAAAGACGAATGCGACACTGCGGACATTACGTTATTCGAGTGTGATAGTGTGATGTTGTGTGATGTATCACAATATTGCTAGCCAAGGTAGCAAAAAACATATCGCGCATCAGATGCATTTAAGACCGGTCTGAACTTTAATTACTCCTGGTACCCGTAGGGTATACGGAGTTATAAGTTCGCTTTTCTTTCTCCAGAGTCATAAATTGGCAATTCTACAGGTATCCACATTACCTATTCAGTAATCCACTTGTCGCGTATAACTAATATCCACATTACCTATTCAGTACAACACATGTTATAAATTCACCGAAGTTTTTCAAAGTTTACGATTATGTTTCATGAGAATGATGACGAACTACGATATTACCACGAGACAAAGTATATACCATGTACTTATCGACAATTTGTGTCTTGAAACTCACAGGTATATCTAAATATTGTTAAAGGACATTGGCAACGAAAATTTTTTTTTCATACGTTTATCATAGATAGCTATGAAATACTTAATTTCGTGTTTTAGTGTCTCTTTTGAATTTTGCTGTTGAGAAAATTTGACATAAATTTGAATCCTTATCCGCCATTTTGAAAAAAAAAGCCTTATGCTAAATTATGCCGGAATACATTACTGACGTCATTGGCTGGCATCCACTGAATGACACAATATAAAATAATAGTATTATATTAATATATAGCACATTTGTTCACTGGAATGTCGATGTTTCTTCCCCAAAATTTGAAAAATCCACCTAGAACATCTTTGATAGGCAACTAATCGATACAGCTTGTGTATTCTCTCTAGATCCTCATCAGACAGGGGCCAGTTTTCTTCAAGATGCCGACACACGTGTATCTTTAACACCCTTTCTGAGAGCATATTGTCCCTAAATTCTTGGTGTGTTGTCAATCAATTTACTCCTTGAGTTTCTGTTTGGCCTAGCAAAGCCTCATACCCATCACATTCAAGCGCTTTTTCGTGGCAACAAAAACACTCGATTGCCTTTTTTGACAAAGTACAATGTCCACACTTACACCAACTAAGAGTTTGAAGGCGCTAAGCATTTGCTTTCTCAAATTCAGCATGTATTTCATCCTCCGACGAGGACAAGTCGCTCTGCTCACTCTCCTGTTCGGAACCGCTTTCTTCACTAGTTTCGGCCTTCACTTTAGGTTCGTATTGATAGGGCAGAACCTCACCCGGTTGATTTTCGTGTCTGTCATCCATTACAGCAAAAAAACCCGTAAAATACGCTTTAAATGTGTTGTAACGCAGTCAATGGCAAAGTATATTGAATTGTTGTTTTGACTGCTCACCAGCCAATGACGTCACTACCGCTCGAGATAATTTTATCAAAATTTTATCCAAGATGGCGGAATTTATAAAACTTTTGCTGCAAATATCTCAGCAACAAAATATTTTTGAGAAAAAAATTTTCTATTTTAGTTGTTACACATCACAAAGGTTCAAAAATATGCCATAAAAATTTTCGTTGCCAATTTCCTTTAAGCAAAATAGTTGAAACTAAAGCGGGCATGGACGTCACAATATAGATAGAATTTGTTTGTTGAGGTTAGGTTTACGCTTCTTAATATAAAGGGCTTCTTTGAGTTTAAGGGCGAAAGTTCCGTATCTTAGACACTACTTGCACTCCTTTCGCCCTTAAACTCAAAGAAGCCCTTTATACATAGAATTATAACTGGTATTCTTTTACACACCTTGTGAAGTCGTACTATCTATGTCACACTGGTTAAACGACCAAACAAAATCTCCATACATGGCTTCTTCTGCACTTGTCGTAGGAAGACCACACAGACTTGAGAGTCAATTTAGCTCTTCTGCGGTGGATATTATTTCGGACTATCTTTAGCGCATTTCTTTCTCATGGAACATCTTTTTTTCCTATAATCTACAGTACGTGCATATATAATATACGCAACAACGACAAATCGCAATTTTACACTAATTTGGCAAAACCTTTTAAATAATTCGGCACAAAATAAGTATAGGGTGTCCAATAAATATTAATCTACATATTTCTACGAAAATGGTGTAGATGGCATTTACCCGTTTACTTTCAGATCAAGCACAATTTATCTGAAATAACACTGTTCCATATTTTTTATTTTGTGTCGCCTACATCTAAAATCTAACTCACTTAGATTTTGCTACAAACTTTAAAATAATGCTTACAGTTACTCATAAAATGTCTATATGCTGACATTGGCACCAACGGCCGTATTTCTGATGGAGGAGTTTGGAATAAGTGTGGTATGGCAAAGGCTATCGTATGAAATCAGATTACTCTTCCCATCCAGAACAACTTTCCAGTGGTACAGAATCCCTCCCATATGTATTTGTAGAAGACGATGCTTTTGCATTAAAAACTTTCATGATGAAGCCATATCCCCAGCAAAATCTTTCTGTTGAAAAAAGAGTATATAATTACAGGCATTGCCGGGCACGACGTATAGTTGAAAACCTGTTTGGAATTCTAGCAAATAGATGGCAATTCTTAAGAACACCTCTTCAATTGTCCCCAGAAACAGTCCAATCAATAAAAAACACAGAACTCAGCCTTCATAACTATTTACGCAAGAGCTTATCAAAAAATATTTACTGCCAAGTTGGACTACATGACACTGAAGATTTAAATGGAAATATTGTTCCTGGACAGTGGTGACATGATAACTAAACTTCATTTGCACCCATTAGTGTGCCTTCATCAGGTTACAATTCTACAAACAATGCAAAAGAAGTCAGACAATCATTCATGCAATACTTTTGCACAGATGGTGCCATAGATTGGCAATGGAGCAGATGTTAGTTTAAACTACATACAGATATAACAAAATTACTGCATTGTTATCTCATGCAGAGTAGACATCTATATTATTAAACTATGATCTGAATTTTATTAAACAGTATCATGAGAACAACAAAATAAATATAAATGATTTAGCATTCATTCCATGTAACTTAATAAAAACTAATAAATTAAATATTAATAAAACTAAAAAAAGTCCACCTTCAGTTTATAAACAGCAAAAGAGCAATTAGCTATTAAAATGAATAGCATCTGGTAAGTATGGAACAGAATGTCCATCATGCCTTTCAGAAGTGAAGTATTGTCTAACATTTGCTTGAACTGGAACATTAAATCCTTGTTGTTGATGACAAGGTCCAATACCATTCATTTCCATTTCAAAGAGAATATCATGGATGCGCTTCTCTGCAACTGTTCTGGTTCTTGCATCCATTGTTTTTAACTTATCTGCTACATACATTGAAAGGAACAATGGTTTGTGTCATTTGCAGTGTGAGTGGGTTCCTTTAAAACTTCAATACAAGTTTCAAGGAGCTCCTTTTTTTCTTTCTTCCGTTTGGGACCGCATCCTTGCTGTATTAGAAGTGGTGGAAGAAGTGGAACACGATGATATGATCGACTCTGAATTGAAGCTTTCATTAAGAGAGTCATTGACTAAGATGGTGGATGAGTCCTTTGACTGTGACATTGTGAATGGCAGGTTATCTCTACTTTTCCCAGCATTCATTACCGGTTGCAGAAACTGAAGACGTTCCCAATGCACCCAGGTGGATACATAATTTTCTCTCAAACTTTGTCCTGATTTTTTGTTGTTAGTCTTTCCAATTTCACGACCAAGTTGGGCCCTAATGTAAAGAATTTTGGCATTTATTACTTACACAGAAAATGGCAAGAATTCGTGAGTGTGTCGGGGACCACGTATTATCTTAACGTAAAAGTCAAACATCAAATACAATTTATTAACAGTGTCTGGGATGGTTTAATATGTACTTTATTAAAAATATGGAATTGAAAATTACTTTCGTTTAGTTAAAATTCTTAATAAAGATTGTCGTGCTCAAAGGGTAGTAAAACTCTTTGAGATCGTATTTGTCACAATCACTAAGCCATGTTAAAGTCAAACGAAAAGAAGTTGGCCCTTAAAGGGTTAATGACTTACACTATGCAGAATTTGTAAATCATTTCGTTTTTAAAGATTTAAACATAACGTACCTTAAGATGTTTTTAGCAGATTGCAATGATTCTCTTGATGGCACTCCCCTGTAGTGAATCTGTTGCAAAACATGCAACATGACGTCTTCTTGCAACACACTTTGTAAATGTTCGTCAGTTGAACAATTTGTAATCTGTACGCCAATAAAAATTAATTTCATAAAACACTTAGAATTCATGACCATCATAAACATTGTGTTTTAACATGAAAGAATGCTTTTCAGTTTTACCTTCTCTATAGCTTCAACAAGCGTAATATTCTTTACTTCTGGAATCCATCCTTCAGTTGTTATACTTGAAATACCTTCAGTCATATAGGCATAAACTTTGTCTGAAAAGAAACACGGTGCTGGTCCACCTTGCACAATTGAACTAGCCATCAGTTGACCTGCTACTTTAAACTTGTCAACCCCAAGCGCTGCCATGTCAGGTAAAGGCATCCCATTATTAAACAGTTGTTGTTGAATAATTTGAAGAACCTCTATAAATATAACACAAACATTTTAGTGAGTAATGTATTGATAGCAACAAATATGCAAATTGATTCATTTTATTTGCAGGTCTGATAAGCAACTGAAACATGTATACCAGAAAAAAATTCCCGACGAGGTCCGCCATCATCAATTGCAGGCTCTCCAACAAATGTTACTTTCAGCAACTGCTTGTTATTGAACCATTGTTTCTTTGAAATTTCCAAATAGTCTTTGAAAACTGATTTTCGCCTCACATTAATTCGGATTTTAATAGGGTTCACATGTTCAGCAAGCTCAGCTATCAAATCTTTCATCTTCTTTTTCATTTCGACCGTATTCACATTACTATCATCACATGTTTCGGAAAAATCATCATTTTCGACAGATGTATGAAAAGGATCATCTTTTATTGATCCAATTGTGTCTATCCACTTGTCAGCACAAATGTCTGCATGTGCCTCAATTTCATTAAAAGGAAACATGCAAAAACAAGTTGGACATGATGTTTCTGCAGATGACGGAGGAGATTTTTTGTCATCATCATCACTTATATCGATAAAGATTTTTACTTTTGTTGCTTCCTTTTTCTCACTATCTTCATTGACCACCATTTTATTGCAAGTATCAGAAATTTTAGTTAAACTTTCCAGTTGTATTATCTCTGTTTTTCATTATTTTGAGCATCATAGTCATACTCATCAGAGTCTGAATCTGGAAAATCCTGGACTCTGTCCAAATCTTTTGTAGCACACAGATAAAAATATATTTTTGAGTAGGGTTTTCCTAACTCCTGTTTGTACTCACTCAATACAAACTCTGCTGCACTGCAAGGTAACTTCTGTACAATAGAATGGTCTGGATAGAGAAGAGCGTAGGAAGTATACTTATTGAACTGTCTAAAATGCTTCGAATGTTTATTTATTGCAGCCTTCATTAAGTCAGCTGCATTACATTGAGATGAGACAATTAGGGGTAGTGTTCTTCCCTTCAGCCTTTTTAACCTTTTACCTTCAACTTCTACGACGACAACTTGAATTTTAACATCCTCGTGTTGTTTTGGTTTCTTACACAATAGAATTTTCTTAGCTCGACTCACTTGCTTTCTTTTCCGATATTCGTCGAACGTTAATGTTGACATCGGTCTAGTGGAGTCATTTGGCAACAGCAAACTTGAACTTGATTTGGATGATAATGTTGGCTCATTAATGCTTGGTGTTGAAGGTAGATTTTCTGATTAGAAAAACTTTAAAAAGGAAATATTGGTGGTATGTAATGTAAATGCATCAAAGAGAAATATGTGTATAAATGCATATTAAAATTATTAGCCTTTCGCAAAATTTGCCCTATTAACATGTAAAATGAAAATACATTATAAGTTTTTCAGAATCTTTTACATAACCACAATAATATTTACGCACAATTCATAATTGATGATTCTATTGATTCATAATACAAAAAATTTAAGAAGAAACGTTTTATTACCTGCAGATGTTGGTTTCCCGCTGTTATGACAGTATTTTGCTGCCTCATTAGCAAATTCCGTGCCACATTCGCTACAAAAACGCGCCATTTAAAGGCCTCACTTTTGCTATACAAGTTTCACTTTGTGGTTTCCGCCGCCATTTTGAATTGTAAGAATTTGATATATTTGACATCTAGAGCCGGTATTTGCCATTTCAACCCAGTGTCTTCCTTAAATTAACTCTATACGCTAATTGTGATTTTACAAGTAATTTTACACATTACACTTAAGTTATAAAATTACAAATACTGAAATACATAGGCCAATCCAGTGGCTAATTTATGTATTGAAGGCTATGTTATCTTTTTGGAGACCTATACTTTGCTTGCTTTTTGAAAAGATAAACAAGAGTGCTTATCCATTCTCTTTTTGGTCATAAATGCATCTTAATGAGCAAACATCAACTCTAGTACACTATTTACAGATAGAAATTACTTTACTAAACTAACAATAGCATGCACATATGAGTGATATGATTTAGCTTAGTTAGCTACACCCGACTGACAGAAACAGTCCACAAGTTAAGGTAACCTTGAGCGAATATTGATTGTATAAAACAAATAAGCTTCAAGATTACAATGTTTTAAGTACTAAGTAAATTAATTTTGTCCAAAAGACTTATATTTTGAAAAAGAAAGTTATTTCAAGTTAACTTGAATAGCTGCCAGTATCATATTGCTGTGATCACCTGCCAAATACATGTCAATCTGATGTTGTACATATTTTTTCTTTGACAAGTTAAATTATAACAATTTACATATGTAAGTGTGTACAAGACTTTCCATCTGGCAAGTTAAACACTGTAAACTGTTTACCATCAAAAAGAAGGGTATTTTCACGTTCAATGTAAAAATTATATAGTTGGACTAAAACCTTTGGCATTGTTACCTTGCTGTTCCTCAGTATGTTTTTCTCGATATCACATGCTCATTTATTTGTGAAGTTTGTTAATTAGTAATTACAATATTTTAATTTTTAAACATCATTTTTTATAGGTCTTGATGTACTACAACTAGATGATACAGAATATGTTGGTGTATCTTCCAAAAAAATTTGTAGGTTCATCAAATATTTATTGCAAATGAAATACGAGAAGTGTTATAGCATCCTAGAGTCATAATGATTGTGCCCAACAGTGATATAGCAATCTCAATAGTTTTGGGAGCTGGTATTCATTTGAGTGCTTGTTTTGCCATGCTAAGTTCTTAAAATAATTGTTTCTTCTGGATTAAAACATGCATTAATTTTTTACTTCATTGTTGGCCAAGGTTTCTTAGAGCTTACATATACAGAAACACAAAACAGCTCAGCAATATAAATAGCTTGTGCACCAACTTTCATTGATGCTTTCAACATGCCTAATTTTGCAGTGAGTCTAAAAGTGGAATACCCAGCTTGTAAGTTGTGATCCTGCTCCATAAATTTTAGAGCATCATTATTTCATTTCTATTGAGATCTATTGTTTTAACTGTAAATGAGAACATAGGAGTTAACATAACTAGACTTAAGACGTGGGGTGAATACACCAGTGATTTTTATGTAAATTTGCTGTATGTATGCAGCATATCCACTGTGTAAAGAATAGATTTCAAAAGAAATGGATATTGATAAGGTTTGGAAATTTACATTGCAAGAGTAAAACTTGCAAGCTTGTTATGCTATGCTACCTCTGCTAACATTTGATTTGATGGTTATCAGTGCCATCCTGGACATTAATGAGGTGGGGTGCTGATTTATTCATACATGCACTTGTGCCCAAGTGGTTTCTTTGAAAGCAATTCATTTATAGAATTAAGCATTTTACTGTAAAAAACACGTTCAGGCACAACTGCACTTATGAATAGTACACATTCCAACGAATTTGCATTGTCGAGACAACTCTGATGATTGCAATTTTGGAAAATATGCATCTGTGAGTCATTCTATTTGAAAATTAATCAGCATATTAATTTCACAAAAGAACAAAGTAAAACAGTATATGGTAGTTTCCTTGATGTTTGAACAATTTCATGCACAATTGACTTTTTCATCTAAGGTGTGTATAAAAAAGGGTGTTTGCAATTGCAGTAGCATCAATATATATGCATGTATTATTGTATATACTTTCAGGTTTTTTAGAATCAGCTACTGCTGAATCATACAAATTCTAATTGTCAGCTGATGATAAATAAGCATTTTTTTTATACACTATATATATACCCATTGCTTTCAATCAAATATGCATGAATCTAATTTTTTAATTAAAGAACTGATATTTAAGAATTATGTTAAAACTAAAGGAAATTGAAATGATGACCTGTTGTTGTAGTTAAGAAATTAAAAGCAATTACTTTGTTCAACAACTCAACAAGAAAACATATAAATTAGTTAGTACAATGCAGGGAATACAGTTTATTAGGTTAGGCTCAACGACACACATATAATTAATGTTCTTGTGCTATTCTACCCCCTCATCATTATCATGTAGCAAAAGTTTATCATATATCAAACGTCTATGAAGCGTACAATGTGTATTAAAACTGTGTTTTGAATTGTTGCTTTTATTGTGTTTAAATTGTGTTTTCAATTGTATGCGTGTTGCTGAAACTGGGGATTAAAAATACACAGTTTTCTTGCACTTAAAGGTTACGTAAATAATGTGATTAGTTTCATGTTTGAAGATGTAGATCGTCCAGTTCAGTAGAGTTATGAGAAGGACTGTTTTGTTGTTGTTGACTGACGTTTCGACAACCTTAGAGGTAGTCATCTTCAGTCCTTCTAAGGTTGACTCTGAAGATGACGACTGCTAAGGTTGTCGAAACGTAAATCAACAACAACAAAAACAGTCCTCAGGACTCTACTGACCTGGATGATCTACATCTGCAAACATGTAAAGATATTCCCGGGTTCAAACCATTTACTTTTTTACGATGACTAGTTTCCGTGGTAAAGGAATCACACAACTTGTTACTGTTTGTCTTGTATCTTCACATCTGTAGTATTAAATTTTTGTAATATTCGTGTATAAATGCAATTATTGCTTCCTATAAAATACATCCAATTGCCTGAAAGGTTTGTACAGTAATTTTCTGGAAAAAAATAATTTTTACCAAATTGGTGGTGCACTTCTATGTTATAGGGGACTAAAATTTTTTTAGACAACCTCTCGAAAGAAAATATGTAGTAATTGCTCTACTGCGGTGGGCAATGCATGTAAGCGATGTTCTAACTGTGGACAGCTCATTCCAAAGAGGCCTTCTTCCGTGTCAATAGCACAATATTCGACCACGACAAGACAGAAAATGTTGCTGATGAAAAGGGTTGGATATGTGTTCTTTAATGTATATCTTAGGGTATTGGAGCAGATGTTAAAGTATCAATGTATAATTTGATTGGTTTCGGAATTGGACTTTTTTTGTAGGCTCAGACTCTTCATCAGAACCACGGTTATCATGTGGTGTAATGTATTATCACCCATCAACCACTGGAGGTCCAACCGTCTGAGATTAGACTGTAACTCCTGGCTTGGCGACAGATTTTATTAGCAGCAGTGGTGTAATTGGAAAATTAGCCAGAAACTTGTTTCAAACTGGGATGAAGAAGTTATGGCAAGATAGAAATGAAGATAGTCAATCTGCAGATCTTTCATCTACGAATACTATCCCTGCCTCTACTTCCCCTTCCGTGTAGTTTTCTGTTTCCCCTTCTATTTCAGCATCTTCATCTGTAACTCTTTGTAGCTCTGTTACAACCTCTCTTCCAGTTATTAGCGCTGTTTCAACATTCAATCCTATACGCAAAGATCGTCATTTTAATACGATTTCCGCAACTTTCGAATCCTTCTTCCTCTCTGCTGCTGCAAATACCAATACAAATGTCGTCACTGATTCTTTTAGCACTAATCCCACTCTGGCCTCTTCCAGTGGATGTACCTTGATCGGCAATTCCTCATCTGTTTCAACCTCTCCTTCCTCTTCTTCAAGATCCTTCGTCGCTACAACATCTGTGTCTGCCATATCTAAAACGACTGCTCCATCTGTCCCTACAGCAACTTTTAGCACAGGTCAGGAATAGTGTACATAGGTGTTATCATTAGAATGGTTGATTTTTTAGTTTCTTATAAGTTTTTAGGTTGTCGCAAAACAAGTTCGATCTTTTGTTGATTAATTTTGTCATCAACATGGAACACATTTCACAACAATAAGCATGTCCTAACACACACGACTACTTTTAGCTTTAAAATGTTAAAACTTGATTTGGTTCTATGGCAGCTACGTACATGCGGATGATGTGTAGCAATATTTCTTCTGTCATAAAGAGTGATCAATGAAGCAAATGGCTATGTCTTGAATTTAAATTGTTTTATGTACACTTAGGAACTGTTTTAGCATTGGCCAACGAGAATGGTGTAGTGTGTAGTTTTGGATGTGTCTCAGGAATGTCGAAGGTGCATAATCGGCCCGTGACTCCCGGCTACCTGTCTGTCTTTTTTACTAGTGTGGTACCGGGGAAAACCGTTGCTCCACCATTTCCAGATCCAATCGACGAAGATGTCGTAAGACCTGGCGAGTCTTACATTTGGCCAGTTGACAGAATATTTGTTGCTGGACCAGATGATTTTACTCACAATATATAGCTACGTAAATCTTTCGCATTTTTTTTCGCATATTTATGTAACACACGTACACGATTTTATTCAAGTGTTGTTCACCTATTAATCCCAAAAATAAGACGATTTAAAAGTTTTTTCAATGGAGATGCATAATAAATTCAGAAAAAAGCATCAAATGTTGCGTCAAAAAAAAACACTAAGACGCCAACAACCAACGAACTATATTCCAGGTGTATCAAAAAAGTAGACTCTTGGAAAAGTTTCTATAAAATAAGATACGCATGTGTATTTTAAAGTTCTCTGGTACAGCTGGTAATGATTTATTTGCAAATTGAATAAAGTACAAAATGAGATTAAGAAGCCAATTCCTAAGGTAAGTGAAATGAGAAAAAGCAAAAAAAAATTCAAGTGTTTTAAAGATCTTGCGTTGGCCAGCGCTTGCCTCAAATTGCTTGCAATTAAGATAGCTTGCACAACCTCTTCCATATTTTGACTCAAGATAATTAAATTATTTTTTCCATGAAAATTTTTCGCGAGCAAGGCCTGTTTTGAAGGACTTTTACCAGCAGATATTTCACTACTATAACATTTTGCATATTTTGAAACTTTCTTTTGCAGATGTACCCCTGTACCGCGCGCGTCTTGTTACGAAGAACTTTTTACCATAATATACTTTTTTGATACATTCTTACTATACACACCATATATAAGCAATACGTGTTATATAGGCTATGCACACTATACACACTATATACACTATATAGGCTATGCAAACTATACACACTATATACACTGTATAGGCTATACACACTATTTCGCTATATAGGCTATATACAATATATACACTATATACACTATATAGCCTATATACACTATATACACTGTATGCACACTATTTACGCTATATAGGCTATATACGCTATATAAGCTATACACACTATATACACAATATAGGCTATACACACTATATACATTATATAGGCTATACACACTATATACATTATATACACTATATAGGCTATATAGGCTATATACGCTATATAGGCTATACACACTATATACACTGTATACACTATATAGGCTATATACATATATACACTATATAGGCTATACACACTATATACACTGTATACACTATATAGGCTATATACATATATACACTATATAGGCTATACACACTATATGGACTATATAGGCTATATAGCCATATACACTATATAGGCTATATACGCTATGTACACAATCCATAGGCTGTAAACAGTAAGTGTTTTCACCAACGTCACAACGACGTCACAACGACGTCACAAGTTTTTACTGTCCGCTATTATATAGATGGAGTGTAACACAAAAGAAGAAACAATGGAAACATAAAAGTAAGATTATAACGTATAGTAAGAATATTGTGTTTATTATACAGTTTATAACATACATCAAACGACTTTTTCTGCATACGGCATTCCCACATCATACTTTGACGTTCTATAAAGCAATTGGTGACGTATTACTTGTCATTCATCGTAGGAAAACCGGTTAAGGCTGCTTTCATGGAGTTAAGTACCAATTGCACAATTTATTAACCAAATTTAAAACAAAAATGTCTACAATCTTGATGAAACATGTTTTCAATCACTTTTCTTAACAAAAAACTTATAACAGCTGCAAAAGGTGAATGGCTTCATCACATCCAGGGTGTCTGTGATATAGACATGTACGTAGTAACCATTTTCTTGAGAAGTATGTACTGGAATTGAACCAGTATAGCAGCTAGTGACTGGTAGCCATTCATAGCTTTTTTGGTTACGTGAGTGAGAATGAGCGACTGTTTAATCAATAAATCTATCACAGAGGAATCAGAAATCTAAATATCAAGGAAAAAGACAATTTGTGTTGCGAAAAAGGGCAATCTGTAGATCATAGATTGCTGCAAAATAAGCCGTTTGCACTGAACAACTACAAATGCGTGTATCTTCTTAGATGTATATACTTGCAAGTGTATGTGCATACATTTTATTTACAAAAAGAGCAACATGCAAATAATTTTCTATTTATAAAAATTGCACGCAAAAATGGGACAGCACAGCTTTCAGCAACAAAATACTACGGATTATATGCATCTTCTTCTTCAACATCTTCATAAACGTCATCTTCACGAACGTCATCTTCATCGCTACAGTCTGATTCACTGTCACTACCGTATACGTTGACTATGGACTGTTCTAAGTCGTGAAAGTATTGAAAACCTTTTTTCAACTGCACTCTGGCAAATGCAATTCCACAGTTTGTGATGGCGAGACAACCATGCAGAGTCTTCATTGTGTCTTTCGCACACAATAGCGATGTTTATATTCATCTAGAAGGAAGCTCTATAAAACAAACATAATAATGTCAATAAGTATGTTCGTATTTTAAAAGATTGGTGTCATTTTCACTACTTATCTGACCTCTGTTTCAAGGAAAGAATAGTCATCAGATTCATCAACATTATTTGTAAATACTAAAAAAATAATTGCAAAATATGTTAAACGCATGTACATTACATTCCACAGTATATAAATACGCAACCTTTAAGCTTGTTTTAACATAATACGAACATTTATCTGTATACCTATCCTATCTTTAATCTTCTCTTTCTTTCACAAAGGAGAGGCAAAACGTTTTCCAAATAATAAATCATATAATTTTTCATCTCCATGTTCAGAAGTGCTTTTTCCTCTTCCAATCTTTTAACTAACATGTACTTATCGACAATTTGTGCCTTGAAACGCACAGGTATATCTAAATATTGTTAAGTAAAATAGTTGAAACTAAAAGCGAGCATGGACGTCACAATATACATAGAACTATATTTGCTATTCTTTTACACACCAGGTGAAGTCGTACTATCTATGTCACACTGGTTAAACGACCAAACAAAATATCCAGACATGACTTCTTCCGCACTTGTCGTAGGAAGACCACACAGACTTGAGAGGCAATTTAACTCTTCTACTGTGGATGTTATTTCGGACTTCTCTTCAGCGCATTTCTTTCTCATGGAAGACCTTCGTCTGCTAGAATCTACAGTACGTACATGTATAATATACGTAACAACGACAAATCGCAATTTTACAGCAATTTGGCAAAATGCTTTGAAATAATTTTGCACAAAATAAGTGAAGGGTGGCCCATAAATATAAGTCTACATATTTCTACGAGGATGGTGTAAATGGTATTTACCCGTTTACTTTTAGATAAAGCACAATTTATCTCGAATTAAACAGTTCCATATTTTGCATTTTGTGTCGCCTACATCTAAAATCTAACTCACTTATATTTTGTAACAAACTTTAAAATAATGCTTACAGTTACTCATAAAAAAACCCAACAAAACTCACCAGCAGGAGAAGTTATTTCTTTTGTGCGTCTAGTGACTGAAAAATACAACATTTCTAATCTCTTCTGCAGCTTCGCTACTGTAATTTTTGCCAGCTGCGACTTTCCTTGCTCAAGAAGCTGCTCCTCTGTCACATGTCCATCTAAAAGCTGTCTATTCAATTCCAGCAATCTTGTTGCATTTCGTTCAAGTTGTTTCACCTTGTTTTGAGCGTTATAAACGAAACGCCTATCACCCAATAATGTCTGCGTTTGATCATCGTTGGCTCGTACAAAATTCTCCAAATGTTGAGCATTTTCAACAGTTTGATGCAAAAGGAAGAACTCTTCGGCGGCACCTTTCAACGAAGAAACTCCAATTTGTTGTTCTAGAGAAACAACAAAAAATATTAATTTATCTACGTAAATACTAAGCACTCCATACAATACTGTATAGCTATATATTTTCCGGGGGTAAAATGAATTGTTAAAAATAACAATTGCCAAACATAAAAATTTGAGCCAGGCCAGGAATTATTTCATATAGCTTCGTTTTAAATGATGTTTGAACAAAAATCAACCATAAGTACAGAAATGTTCAATACTAAACCATGTTTCTAAAAATATTTGAAAGAAAACAATGTTATAACAGAGGTATACCTCTCGCAAATTGTTGAACTTCTTCTTTCCACTGCATTATCGAGTCGTCCAAGTCTGAATCCTGGACATTAAGTTCGCTTCTTAACTTTACAAAATCTTCCCTGGCAGATGAAAGTTTCCTTTCGGTCTTCGAAATACAAGTACACATAATGAAAAACAGTGAAAAATAATCATATTAGCGCCGTAAACGTATTGGGTTCAAGCAAGACCTATACACAACTATGAACTGTAAATTCATTTCATATTATACACGTACGTAGCTATAATTTTGACAATTAACTGAAGACATATACAACTTGTAACCTTTTTCATTCGAATAACAAGTGATTTTGCCAAGTTTAAAATTTTTCGCTTGTTCCAACTCAAAAGGTGTTCAGTAATGCATTCTTCTCGTCCTTAATACGTACAACCATTAATGCGCACATTAGTTCGTGGACTTAATCGACCAAAAAACCTGAGTGGATATACAGATAAGAAAATAATACTCACCGGAGGCCGTCATATTTTTAGTAGTCGAGCCAAGTCTAGACAAATACGAATTTATTTGCTCAACTTCTTCGCCAGCAGTTGCTGCCGCACCACTTTGCCATCTTCCGCTCCAAATAACCTAAAAAGTGTGAAAAGAATCATCTATTCAAGACAACCCATTTCAGATTTATGTAACCACGGTTTAGTTACGTGAAATACAGTATTATTACAGTTTGAAAAAGCACGTTTTGTCTCATAAAATCTTTAATAGAGCATTATCGTCGGGGTATGTGGTATTTAGCTTATGAGTTATTGGGTAAACAATCATAACATACGTATGTAACGTACCTGACATGACCCACTGTGTGATTTCCCATGCATTATAGACAGTGCTGGTGCAATATTTTTTAGCGCATTTTGATTTTCTTCCGATGTAACACGTAGAGCCCAAGGCCAATATTTGCATATAATATCTTCCCACATATATTTAACTTTATGTGGTTGTAAAAATTCATATGCAAGTAGTGAGCATAGCCATAAATTTCTCTTCTGAACATGTTCAAAGTAGCTTGAGCAATCGAATGCCTGCATCCAGCAACTTCAAGTCCAGTCTCGTCTTGGTTTTTTTTGATTTGGAGAGCATTTTTGCTGCTTTCCAATGGGTGTCGCCACAAGAATTATCTCCATTCTAAAAAAAATGCTTTAACCTAATAATAGATTACTACTTTTCAATCCTACTTCATAACACATTACCTGAATTGACTTTGAACCAAGACTTTTTAAATGAGAATCCACAAAACTATAGTTTGCAATCAATACATCACGATAATAACACTGGACTGGACCCCTGTGGTAAAAGTAAGTTATCAATTTAGAACACAAGCACTCATAAACCCAACAATGCAGGTAAAGAATGAAACATGAGCAGTAGTTCTTTTTCTTGGATTTGTTAAATTGGTTCAATTTATTAAAACATAAAAGTATCTGAATCGTTTACAAAGGGTAATTCCATTTTTACAAGTTTGAGAGTTCGCCATCCTATATCACAAACCTTGGTACTTTGCTGAATCTGTACACTTTTTGATTTCCATCAATATGACATGAATGTTGATCAATACTACAAGGAGGGCAATTTTTCCATGTCTGCTCATGAAGAAGGTCAATTTCATGTTGGCAATAGCTCCATTCAGCAAATGATTTTCTGAATGTGACTGGATTGATAACATTTTCCTAGTGAAACCAGTTCCACATCAAAACATAGCACAATTATATACTATTTGTTGATTATGCAAAACCCCACTGTACTATAATATAGTTCTCATACTTCAAACATACATATTATATGAAGCCTACAAAAATTGACATGTGCTTGTTACAAATTTTAAACACATTTTCCTTGACTTCTCAGCATTTACCAAAATTCACAGAAAGAAATGATAATAAAGGATTATTTTGAAACCAAGATTTACGTCTTGTAGCTTTTGGTTTGCAAGACAAAAAATATACACAAAGTAAAAAGCACACTAACTAAGATATGTAGATAGCATAAAAAATAATCACCCTTCCTCTAGAGCTGGTAATATCTTCCAAACTTCTGACAAAAGCAGATTGTGATGACCCAGGCATCCTCTTTCTAAATGCATCCCACAAATTAAAGACATCTTGACTAAATATGTAATGAAAATTTTCAGGGCTACCAGGCCACCAGCCACTCTCAATTATACTGTCAACAGAAATTGGTGACCACTTCCATTGACAAGATGAGCAATGTACTGTGAACCAATTAAAATCAAATCGTTCTGTTGAAGACAAAATATAATCAAAAATGACCAGTACAGTGCTGAAAATATGCACTTCAAAGAAATCAAATCCTGGGGTTTCATAAGAAGCCAGCAACTTCATCAATGATTTGAAGTTTTTAGTTTCAATCTAAAGTCTATGAATTAGTGTATAATCCAACCTGCTGCCTATGTACTTTTCTAAATGTGACTAAGATAATGAGCCCCTAACAAATCCCATTTTAATAAGATGCATCATATGTACATCCATATATCAAAAATTGTTATTTGGACTCTGTAAAAAAATTGCATAAGGACATTTTCACCTTCACAAGTGATCATAATCACAAGAGAGCTGTTGGTAGTTTTGATCATGGGTTCATTTTACAACTGACATGGGTAAAGGATGGGACATGATCGATCTACAAAGAAAACAGCATTATCACAGAAAAACATTTCTCTCATATCGGGCACAACAAAAAAAACCAAATATTTATATATAATTCAATAGTATGTACATTATACTTACCAATACTGCAAACCTCTCCATCAGATGAAATGGATTGTGTTGGCTTGATATATTGAAAATAACCATCCAACCGCACTTCTCGATCATGGAGAGGATTATTCTCATTGACATCATAATCGCATTCTCAACAAATATACATCAACACACCACATTGTCTGCATCTCAGTACAGCTTCATTTTCATTGCATCTACAACACTTCATAGCAGATAAAGGAGGAGCAATTAATGACACAGTGATATTGAATATTATTTCCCTCATACTTTCCCAATTTTCTTCTCGATTTTCCATTCTTTTTTGCCAAGCAGATGGCCCAGTATCCACTTCTCCAATAACCAACTGACAGCTTTCAAGAATGGCTTCAAGATCTAAAATGAAAATGAAATGATTTTATGACGTAAAGCTGTTTCCTTTCCTATTTTTTTTTCTAAAATATGACACAATTATAAAAAGAGTACATTGAAGTGTTTAAAACACAGTCACATGTGTATAAAAATATAAAAAACTATGTATAGATGCAGTGGCCTGGACAGCACAAGCGTTTTGCTTCTGTTATGTAAAGTTGAGACGTAAGAAGTATTATCAAATCAATAACCTCTTTCAGTAACACTGTCATCACATAACATTTCCTGTGGAACATCACGTAAATCGGACGATGTTGTAGGCATTTCCTCATCTATGATAGTGATAACAACAAGTAAGATAAAAATGTAATATACCAGTTACACAAAAATCTAAAATGCTTCTATTTCTTTGATAAAAGTATTATTTCCCCAGCACACACCTCTTTGTGTATTTCTATTGCTCGGAGTGCTTTGCCTCGGCTTATGAATAATCCGTTCGCCATCTTCGTTTCTTTGAAGAACTATATCTCTACTGGCATTTTTCTTCTTAACAGTTTTACTTCTACTTTGAACACCTTTATTTGTATTAGCATTGACATTGCTTATTGCAGACAGCAGCTGCTCATCAATCGTTGATTTACTCAGCTTAATGCGTTTATGAGACATGTGTGATTGCATAAATAAGAGGTGAAACCCCGATGTGTTTAATATTTCATAAAAATACTGATACAGTGTACTGTAAAATATCTTCGCTCCAATAACAAAACAAAATGGCGCGCGCTAAGTTTTTTTGTTTTTTCATTTTGGCAACTGGCAAAGGAGTGACTCATGTCACCAGGCCTGTTTTTTGAATGGAGGTTTCAAATTGACTTATAGAGTCAATTTGAGGGTATTTTCACAATTAGCGTATAGAGTTAATTTAAGGAAGAGACTGGGTTGGTTTTGTATAAAGAAGTCGTGTCCCTTATGGGCCACCGTAAAAATTAGCATAAAATGTTGGATGAAAATTTGACTCGCGTCAAACGTCATCCAACATTGTCCAACATCATCCAACATCATCGAACATCACCCAACAATATTTTTAATAGTGGTCAAACGGTGCCAACATTATATCACAACAAAGTTGGGGGATGTTGGATGCAAATGTTGCGCTCGTTTGAACAGGGTTTTAGGCCTAGGTTTGCCCTATCTGTCCCACAACTTTCAATGATAAGCAACCTCGCCATGAACTTTGTCTTTGAACGTTGGGGTTATTTAGTTCTAACATTCCAATAAGAATGGCTTTCACCAGCAAACTTACAACAATATGGTCAGAAAATTCATGATCACCTTTGAAAATCATGGTGCACCTTTGCAAATTGTTGGGGATTTATAGATGGAACGGTAAAAGAAGTGTGTCGACCAGGTTAACACCAAAGGGTGGTGGACATACAATGGACACAAAAAAGTACATGCAATAAAATTCCAGTATGTCATTGCACCTAATGGATTGTGTGCTAATCTTTATGGACCTGTGGAAGGGAAACGACAGGATAGCACCATGCTTACAAGATCAGCATTATAGGAATCCCTTCAACAACAATCACGAGCACCTGATGGTTCTGTTCTTTGCATTTACGGTGATCCTGCTTACACCCTACGTCTGCAACTTCAAGCACTATTTAGAGTGGCACAAGTAATCAAACAGCAGAAGAGCTGGAACAAAGCTATGAGTGCTGTTCGTACCTTTGTCGAATGGGTGTTTGGTGATATTATAATCTATTTCAACTTTTTAAATTTTCATAAAAATCTGAATATTCAATTAAGTGCTGTGGGTAAGATGTACATCGTATGTGTTCTTCTACTAAATACAAGGTCTTGCTTTTATGGCTAAACCACTTTCAACTACTTTGAGTGTAAGCCAACATTAGTTCAAGAATATTTCAATTGAAGACATCTAATTCTTTTCTTTGAGATGATTATGTCATGTTTGTCTGAATTTACATTATATGAAAAAACCACATGAAAAAAACATTTGAATAATTTTTGATCAAGACATATTTTAAGACATATTTTATACATACAGGGTGGTAATAGGCTCCCAAAGGCCTTCAAGTTAGCCCCCACTGCCTCAAAAATACAATAGCTTGTTTACATTATTAATTTATCAACTCCTTAAATGGACATCATGAAATATTCATGTTTACAGCCTTATTTCTTAAAAATATGTGTTAATATCAACAGTTCACAAAGTTTCTCATAAATTTATCCAACAAAAACATAAATAGAAATCACAAGATTAAAAACTTACTTAAGCTCATTATGCTTTGCTAAAACATGTATCAAAGCAAGGTTAACTTGTTGTTGTTGCTGCAGCAAAGTTTGATTTTGTTCATATTGTTGCATAATCACCTGGTATAGTCTTTGAGATTCTGTCTTTTTCTCCCCCAGTTCTGTTTTTATGAGCTCCAATTCTTGTTGTCGCATATGCATTTCTCTCTCACTTTTCTCTCTCAGATAATTTATGGTATCATCAGACCTCCGAATTCTCTTTGGTGTTGTCTCATCTCTATCACTATTTTTCTTTTTGGAGGTTTCCCCTACCGTTTAAAGAGATTGCAACCGAAGCTCTCCTGCCTGCTGCATTTCATTGTCAGTTGCCTCTTTTTGTTTCTCGTTTTCCAATAGCCTGGTCATATCACTATAATTAAATAATTCTACATTTTCACGCAAGCCTTTTTCATATCAGTTTCTTCCTCTGGTGCAATCCCCGATGCTCGATCCAATTCATTTTTTTTTATATTTTTTCTCCAGCAGTCTAACAGATCTGTCATCAACTTTGAACGAAAGATCAGCAATTTGATTCACACTTTCTGCTATATTTTTCTAACAATTCTCTCGTTCAGGTAAACTTTTCTTGAAATTCCATGTCTCAAACATAATTATCTTACGAATAAACAAGTCATCATGCAAAGAACTCCAAATCATGGGTTTACTAAAAAAAATAGACATGTATTAAAACAATTAATGCTTATCCACGTGACGGAAGATCTGAATTAAAAAGTGAAGGCTGCACTTGTGTTGCTTTAGGCATAACAAATGCAAATATTTAACACTTCAATAAACCTCCTGTAATATTGGCTGTTGCTTGAAACTTTCGAGTCAAAAATACTGGCAATATCATCCAGATGACACTAGCCATCGTCCTAATATAACTCAAAGCACTTAGTTTTGTTCCACTCACGGCGTTAAAGCAATAGCACTGGTCAAAGTAAACATATTCTACTTTTTTGTTTCTCTTGAATACCCAGCGAAGCCATGTTTACTTCCTTCGCCTCCCGGTCGTCGCTGAAACGTGATGTTAATTCATTTCACGTCGGTCGCGTGAGGCAAGAACGTCTGTTTGGGGATTCCTCTGACTTGCCCATACGTAAGATCTCGAGTTGGTCATAAGAAACTGAACGAACGAGTTTCCCAATCTTGGTTATCAACTTATGTCAGGATTGCTGTTAGCAAGAGGTTTGCGAATTCAGCAGGACAGTATTCGTGAAATGATGTGAAGAGTTGATCCACAGGATGCATTGTTTCGTGCTTTGTATCTTAGAGCAGTGCACAGACGAAAATATCAGGTTACTAGCCCCTTATCACTTTGGCAAGTTGATGGCAATCACAAATTAATTTGGTGGGCTACTAAAAGATACCTATTTTGGGACGTTAATAAATCTTAATTTTGCATACAAATGTGCTAATAGTTTCATATTTTTAGATGCGATATTTGTGACTCATGCAGAAATAGATGGCTATTCACATTTGCTGGTATTTATTCGCTGTAGCACAAACAATCGAGCTGATACTGTTATAAATCCATTTCTAACTAGTGTATCTCATCTCAATATGGACTGCCATCCAGAGTAAGAACAAATAAAGAAGGTGAAAACGTTGGTATTGCTCAATTT